AATTCTTCCGCAAAGTTTATTATGTTTAAAAGCAGAAAAGTGATCCCGCGAGCGGGCCGCGCAAACTGAGACTAGAATTGCCCCGCATTTTGCGAAAGCAATTCCCGTCACCTTGTTTCGGCCGGCTTTTCCATTTTCCTCTAATCTCCGTGTCAAATTGAACGGCGAGTCGGTCCGTCCAATTTCGCAAATCCAGTGCGCTACGGAACGAACTTTTTTTCGATCGGTATCGTTCGAAATGTTGACATCCGTGGAGCTGCTAATGTGTGGACGATACGAATCGGTATCGCCGAGTCGTTCGCTCGTCAGGCCGAAGGACACGCGATCGCGCGAAAGGAGTCCTAATCCCACAGCTGGCTGGAGAGCGATCTCTTATTCATAAAATTCCGCCTCACGACTCGCGTGCGAAGAGGCACTTCGGCCACCGTGCTACATTGTGCAAACCGGTAACGTGCATCCGCTATTTACCGTTCAAGTTTATCGCTGATAAATGTTCCTGCGTTAACCGCTTGTTCGCACGGCATTTAACACTCCCCTCGAAGTGCAGGGAAAATGGTAAATCGCTCGACGTTACCGAACCTGTTGTTCTGAAATTACTTTGTTATCGAGGCTGTTATTTAATCGACAGTTTCTGATACGCCGAGACGCCAATAAGTTCAAGGCTCCGGTTTCCAGGTGCTCTTTTAATTCTAGTTGTTTAGCTTTAGTTCAGAAGGAAAGTTTCGCATTGAAATATTTTTATAACCGGGATTCAGTGAACAATGCAACTGCATGTATATACAGGGTGTCCTAAAAATGTCTCGTAATACAGAAATGGGGGGTAGCTGAGGTTATTTAAAGTAACTTTTTCCTTAAATAATATTTCATATATACTTACCGACAACAGTTAAAAAAAGCTTTACATATCGTTAACATTTGAGTAAAATTTGATACTCTAATAAATATGTATCTTATTAAATTCAAAGTACATATTATAGTGAAGCATTGTTTACATTGCAATATTGTTTTATTCAGTGCGTACGACAAATGAAAAAGATAATAAAACTGAAAAAAGTAAAAGATACGAAAATAAAATGAAAATTAAAAATTAAAATATTATAAAATAACAAAATTAATATTTTCGTTGACAAAATACAGATTTTTATGTAACACGTTTCTTAACTCTTGTCGGTAAGTGTAGAACACAAAATATACGTCGTTCCGTAACAAATGTAGAAAGTTAAAAATCATCGGAATTTAACAGCCATAAGAAATGTATAGTACTGGAATTAACACTTCCGTGACCGCGCTAGAAATCTCGAAAATTTTCATACAATTAAAATATTTCATTCAATTAAACAAAAATGACGAAGCAAACTTATATGGCATCAATTACTTTTTCAGCGTTCGTACCTCTTGTAAATCTTAATGAAATTAAGCAATCATTTTGAATGTTTCATTAATCACCCATTCGATCGTCAATCGACTGAATCTCAAATAGGGAGAGCTCGCCATTCGGTTGGCTAAGTGTTAAGTTCGTTGGAGTTTGTTTAGATGAGACGTTAAAAAGTCTCTCTTTAAAGCAATACAGTAAATTCTCTCCCAGAGAGAGAGCTTGTAAACAAAAATAGACAATTTGGGAAGAGCAGATAGGATTATTCGAGCCCCTCGTTTTTGTAGTCGCCGATTGTCAACAACTATAAAAACGAACTGCCCTTTCCAAATTATCCATTTTTGTTTAGAAGCTGAAGGACAATTGGGGAGAATTTACTGTAATACGTTAAATCTTGTGTGTGCAGGAAGTATCCGAATTCGATAGTCCTAAAGAAAAATTTAATACCAAAACTTAGTCTATCTCATTTTGTTTAGTAGAAAATGTTAAAAAGTACTTCAAAACACTAATACGCCGAATGTTAAGTCTGAAGAAAGCAGAAATATTGAACGAAAATCAGATGACAAAAAACTAACCGTATGAGCAAAGTTCGTATGTATTTAACCAATAATTGCAGCACGATTAATCTATTTTCCTCATTTTTCTCTATTTTCCTTCATTTTCCGTTATTTTCCCTCTTACTCCTGCAAGCACGCTTTGAATAAACCAATAACTAAATTAAACATTTACATGCACGTTCTGTTTTATTTCTTATAATTTGAAAAAAGAAAAACCTTGAAAAGCGGCTCATGCGCAAGAAGAGGTCGGGAACCGTGATTTAATCAATCCCTGAGTGAATGTCGCCAAAAATAATATTGCTGTTTTACTTGTGTACACCTCGTTTGCATATTGATTAATTATTCAATAGTGAAAAGATGCGTATAACCGTCTTGAAATTTGCAATTCAAGAATACCTTGTTTGCCTTCACGTTTTCACAGGTTTGCACCTCCACGCTGTCTTATTCGAAACGGTTGATTAGAGCAACATTTTTAACGAACCGCCTCGACAGATCGAAACACAGAGCTACGGGAGTGGTGAATAGATAAAGGCGGCAAACCTCTTTCGGTACCGTGCGTTCAAACCTAATTACCTATCGACTAGACCCGCCATAAACTCGCGTATGCAAGCAGGCTTTACCGCAACAGCTTATTAAAGATACATATGAAACTACCAAAGACCGATTTGCGTCAAACTTTCCGCATTAGCAGTCCATTTGCAAAGTTTCCACTAAATTGATCTACGATGTTGCATTTTTTATTCGTTCTCAGTATCCGCTAATTTGGATTTAGAAATTACAGTTTCAACGAAACAGTGTATAAGCAATGATAATTAAATTCGTGTAGAGTAAGGAGCCGATATCATTGTTTCTGTTCTGTCTAGACTGCGGGTTTTTATGTAAAATAAAAATTATCTCCGTCAATTCAACAAAAACGAGTAATAATTTAATTAATAATTTAAGCGAGTTTAAAATAATAAGTTGTTATATAAAATCCTATAAAATCCGCAGTCTAGTTCTGTCTAACTTGTTTGTAACACTTCAGAGACAATTTTCTGTAATTGGAGCAATTAATAAAACGTGTTCCGTTGTTGTAAACAGAGACACATGTGCATTACGCAGACGTTGCATCTATAATCTTGAATGTGTTAAATGTAAGCAGTGGAACGTGTTGATATTGGCCAATTTCCATCGTTCACAACTTGAGAACAACGAGATAAACACACTAAAATAATATTTATTCGAAAGTAAACGAAATAAAAGTATACAAAATTGAATATTTCTTATTCGATAAATACGAAATTAATTGTGCCTGAAAACAAACCAAAGGCGCAGCAATTGGTCAGCCCACAATAACCGGTTCCACTACCTCAGTGCAATAACATTTCTTTATTAGCAAGTAAAATATATATTAATCCAAAAAAAATAATTAATATTATCATAAAAAACTTAAAGATCGAGTCTATCAACCGGATTGTGATCGAGGTATGCTCTTAACACTATCTCCCTTAGACTTCCCTTAATCCTTAAGTACCTTCGATGTTTAGACTGCTTAGGCCTTACATTTAGAAATACTTGTTTTAGGGAAAATAAAAGACCGATTTATCTTCGCAAACACTACTGAGATTACATGGTATTCGAATGATAAAGTAGCAATAGTGTCGAAACTTATGAATACAAATAATACGCATGGGCTGGAAATCTAGCCCGCGGAAGTACTTATGGGTTAACCCTCCCACGACGATGACTGGGTCTGCAGTGACCTGCGATATTACATGTACGGTAACACAATAAATTACTTATTATAAATAGAAGAAATAAATAGTTCTTTGTTTCCTATATTTGTTTCCAATATTAACGATAATCAAAAAATAAATAAATCGACGTAAGTGAGGTAGTCACGGTATTGGAGAACATGTTACTGAAATACTTATCGCTGGAATTGTGTGACTGTCATTGCATTGTGTACTGGTTATTGTACCTGTTGAAAATATTCTAAATTTGATCGAGTTATTCTTTCCTTCTACTACAAAAACAAACAATGATGCAATGAAACGAATGATTACGTAGCGTCAGAACGAAGCGTTTTAGTATCGGCTTCGATAAAGACATTTTTTCAAAAAGTCATTTAAACGACAATATTACCCTAACACTTCTTTACGCAGAATAAAGGAAGAATTCGATACATGGGAAAAATATGTATATGTGCGTTTAAAAAAACGTCGATTATATTTACATGACCTTTACGCGTCCACCAACGGGAAAACTATTAACTTCACATTATGATCCCTTTAAAACCATTCGTCCTTCCCCTGTAACATTTTTTCCTAACTCGAATCAAAACAAAAATATAGCTTATTACTGTTCCGTGAATCGTATTAGGTCTATGTATTAGGTCTATCGGAAAGTTCTGTCCGATAGTGTCACTTCAAGTTTCAATCCATATGCACATGTTGATTTGAGACATATATGATGACTATCTCTCTGTATCATTGCATTTACACACATGTACTCTCCTAAATAAACTGAAACAAAAATGTCTCATGTCATTATTAAGTGAGACGCGATCGTGAAAACATGGCTACCGATGATAATGCCAGACCACATGCTGCTTTGGCGACTCGTCAGAAAATCGCAGAGCTAGGCTGGGAAATTCTGTCCCATCCACCATACTCCCCAGACCTAGCACCCTCCGATTATCGCTTGTTTCTCTCTTTGCAAAACTTTTTACAGGAAAAAGAATTCAAAACTGAAGCTGTTGTCAGCCAAGCACTAGTTGAGTTCTTCGCCTCTAAAAATAAATCACTTTTTAAAAATGGCATTTACAAGTTGCCATCACGCTGGCAAGTAGTCATAAGTAACGATGAAAAGTATATTCTACAATAAATATTATTAAATGTATGAAAATTGTGTGTTATATTTCAATTCAAAAACGGACAGAACTTTCCGGTAGACCTAATATAAATGCTAATATGGATCATGCGAGACCAGGTCACCGGCCACTATGGTCCGTCATGCGAGAAACTGTCGCCGATATACAAACTATACCGAAAAGATATATTAGATGCAAGAACCGTAGCGATCACACTTACCATGAGGAGGTTTCGGCACGTAGAGGTTCAAATACAGGCAGTCTTCGCTCTGGTTGGCCAGCATAGGGGCTAGCCTCTCGAGGTAGGCGCGTCTGTTCCTCGGTAGAGTGGCGTCCGGTTCCGGTGGTTTTTGAGGGCAGGCGGGCGGCATGGTGTCCGCCAGCTTGGTGCCGCGCCAGGGCGTCGGCGTGACCGGCGGCATGTACCGTAACGAGCCGACGGGTGGCGTCGCGTACGGAACGCCGTAATAGGTCTCGACGGACGTCGACGACCTGGCTTCGACGCCGCGCAGGATTCCGTACCTGGTCCGGACCGTTCTGGTGCTGTACTTCTGGCTGCCGGCGAGCGCCTCCGCCGCGGCAGGCCAGCAAAGTCCGCACAGAATCGCGAGGAACACGAGGAGCTTCGCCAGACACTTTTTCGAGCTGTCCCGTAGCCTGCGTTCCCCTCCGACGCACCTCCGTTGTCCTGTTTCGCGAACGCGCGACGCTTTCTCGTTCTCGAGACGATCGTTCCCCGGCGAACGAGCCTCGACACTACCCCACAAAAAGTATCGACGCTGGTCAGCATCGTGCACGAGGAATCGGCTGGAGCTACGGTCCAGGGCAGACAAGCTTCCGATGAGATCGAGAGGCGAGAGGTCTTTCCTCTTCCTCTTCCTCGCAGGCGAGGAGGAGGACGTCCGCATCGCGTCACGCCGCCGCGGACTTGCCCCTCCGGGCCCCGCATCTGTGGGGCCCTCCTGCTAAGGGCGACCCTTTTCTCTCTGGTTTTTCACGCTCCTGCTGCTGCTGCTGCTGCCTCTCGATTCCCTTCCTCGAGCAATCCTCCGACACCGATTCACCCTTCCCAGTCTTTCTCACCACGCTGAAGTCTTGCGCGTTCTTCGAACACTCGTCCTTCTTGTTGCTACCGCCAGCCTTCCTGTCCCGGCGATCGAATAGCCCAGCCCGCTCACCGTTCTCCTTTCCACGGACTTTCTTCTCCACGGCCACCTGCTTCGCAACCCACGGCAGGCCACCTCGTTTCGAATCGTTTCGATTCACCGTGAACTCGGACAAATTCCCCGGTAACACGCTGATCCGCAGGACTCTCAGTTCCATCCTCGGGCGCGTGCATTCCTCGCGACGAGCCTCCGGAAGTCCTCAGCCCTCGGTCTACCCGCGACGATACACGAGCGCCGATTCACTCGAACCGCTGTGTTTGAGGGAAGCATCAGCGAGACCTCCCCGAACGTACACAGATTCGGAAGATTCAAGCGCGGTTTCTAGGACGTTGGAAGAACTTCGTTGGCGTGACGGTTCTCGGGAGACGTCCCGACGATACGTTCGGAGTATTCTGAGCTACCAATCAATTCCTTGACACTGATGTGCACTCGGCTTCGATACTGAACAGTCTTCGACGCGCGCTTCCTTGTTTCTGCTATTCTGGAAACAAAACGGAATATACGAGCTTGGCTTGGGTTGTTGGAACGTCGGGGAATCGAAAAAGTTCTGTCGTTTTTTCCTTTTTTTTCATTTAAACGTCTCGTCCGATCCACGGCAGTTTCATTCTATATGATTTTGAATATTCTGCGCTACACTAAAATTTTTAACCATTTCGATTCGTATCATGCTCATTATTACCCAGATCTCTCGAACACTGTCTTTAACAATGTACAGTATTTATACAAGCGAGACAAAAATAATGAAAGCATTTTAAGAATAGGCACAAATGTTATTTCGATTTTGTTCAAATTATTTGGAGGAATAGTACATTCCTATTTAACTAGCTGCATTAAAAAAATTTTTATCTTACTAACAAATCTACAGTCTAATTACAAGTACAGTAAATCCTCCCTAATTGTCCTTCAACTTGTAAACAAAAATGGACAATTTGGGAAGTGGAGATACGATCATTCGAGCCTCGCGGCTCATCTTTATAGTTGCCGATTGTCAACAATTATAAAAACGAGACGCAAGGCTCGAATAATCGTATCTCCTTCTCCCAAACTGACCATTTTTGTTTACAAGCTGAATTGGGAAGAATTTACTGCATACAGTAAGAAATGATACTATTACCATGGTGTTCTTCCCATAAAGCAAATATTTTGATGGAAATGCACAGATTATAGAATGCAAACTTTCCTTATTGGGTTAGGTAAAGGACTGCATCGTTTTATTTGGTAACGCGTCTTAAGTTGACGAATCTATAATAGATTTATTGAATTGGAAAAACTAGAATTAAGATCCCGAAGTATAAAAAGGTGCAAAAAATCAAATGTTTAACCTATAGCAACATCACCTTAAAAATGCTATTTGTATATGAATCTTCCTTACTATTCTAGGAAAACTGAAATATATTTTCTCGTTCATAATTCTCATTTCTGTCAAAGCTAAATTGTGAGAAATGCTATCATTTGGAAAAATTTTAGTTCCAAAGTATATTTAAAGATAAGATAATGACTTATTTTATACATAACCGGTTATTCGAATTATGAATCTCACGCTAACGACAGAACTTCTTCGGTTATCTGACATTATTGTTCCAATTTGAAAATTACTGAGATATATCTGTTCTATAGGGTGATCGAGACTCGAAGGTCTCACACTGATAGGTCCGAGTCCTCTAGCAAAAGAATCGCCCTTTCTAATTGGAAGGCACTCCACGGATAAGATGCCGGGATCGTTTTACTTGCCGGCGTCTCCGCCTCGGCGACAAAGGGGCAAGAAAAATAGCGATGAACGAACGAGATTGAATGAAAGCCCCATAATGTGGTGGAGATGACGTAAGAGGATCGACGAAGCGCGATTATTGGAGGCGGATAATGCACGATATACCCTCAAAGTGAGTAACCTTCTTCCACAACCGTTCGTATTATTTTATAAAAACGAACGAAAAAAGCGCATAATCTATAAATTCATATTCATTGGAATCGAAATCAAGTTGCCAATTTTAACCCTCGCGTGTCCCTCAAGATAAAAATTCATCCATTTTCTGTTCCTGAATAATATCAAGTATTTAATCAGTTTCTGATNCGAATAATCGTATCTCCTTCTCCCAAACTGACCATTTTTGTTTACAAGCTGAATTGGGAAGAATTTACTGCATACAGTAAGAAATGATACTATTACCATGGTGTTCTTCCCATAAAGCAAATATTTTGATGGAAATGCACAGATTATAGAATGCAAACTTTCCTTATTGGGTTAGGTAAAGGACTGCATCGTTTTATTTGGTAACGCGTCTTAAGTTGACGAATCTATAATAGATTTATTGAATTGGAAAAACTAGAATTAAGATCCCGAAGTATAAAAAGGTGCAAAAAATCAAATGTTTAACCTATAGCAACATCACCTTAAAAATGCTATTTGTATATGAATCTTCCTTACTATTCTAGGAAAACTGAAATATATTTTCTCGTTCATAATTCTCATTTCTGTCAAAGCTAAATTGTGAGAAATGCTATCATTTGGAAAAATTTTAGTTCCAAAGTATATTTAAAGATAAGATAATGACTTATTTTATACATAACCGGTTATTCGAATTATGAATCTCACGCTAACGACAGAACTTCTTCGGTTATCTGACATTATTGTTCCAATTTGAAAATTACTGAGATATATCTGTTCTATAGGGTGATCGAGACTCGAAGGTCTCACACTGATAGGTCCGAGTCCTCTAGCAAAAGAATCGCCCTTTCTAATTGGAAGGCACTCCACGGATAAGATGCCGGGATCGTTTTACTTGCCGGCGTCTCCGCCTCGGCGACAAAGGGGCAAGAAAAATAGCGATGAACGAACGAGATTGAATGAAAGCCCCATAATGTGGTGGAGATGACGTAAGAGGATCGACGAAGCGCGATTATTGGAGGCGGATAATGCACGATATACCCTCAAAGTGAGTAACCTTCTTCCACAACCGTTCGTATTATTTTATAAAAACGAACGAAAAAAGCGCATAATCTATAAATTCATATTCATTGGAATCGAAATCAAGTTGCCAATTTTAACCCTCGCGTGTCCCTCAAGATAAAAATTCATCCATTTTCTGTTCCTGAATAATATCAAGTATTTAATCAGTTTCTGATTATGTTGTAAATTTGTTTGTTTAAAATCTGCTATTGCAAACGATACTCAATTTACTAATTAGCAGGTATTCTTCTTTAAGGAGATAATTGTATTTTCTTAAACTGCATCATCGCGCGCAGACATGTGTTCCCGAAGTTGCATAACCCGATTCAAATAGATAGCATAGTTATAAAATCTTGATAATTTATACTACAATTATACAAGTGTTTGCAACAGTGTTTCTATTATTGTTTACAGATTATTATATTGTTCATCATTTTCATAGTTCAATTGTTTCCTTCACTCTACACAACTAAAAACTAAAATACTTATTTGGATTAAAGTTAAGATCAGTGCAATAACATTTCAGTAACGTTAGTGAAATTAACAATAGTTACTAACTTGCGGATCATTGCGCAAAATACAAGTTATTCAAGTCAACTTTAAGTTAGTTGAAAATATCTTCCTCTTTTTAGTGATTGAAAGAAGTTGAATATAATGTAACAGAATATCCTTAAATTGTTCTAATGCTTTAAGATTTGTATTTGATCTGTTCTTTTTCGCTATAAATGCATACATTTCTCAAACATAACCAAATGCGTATACAGAGTATTAGTAAGTTTCTTAGACAGAAAAATGTCTACAGTGGATATATAAAGGTCGCAAACATTTGACGAAACGTTAATCTAATACAACATTCAACATGGATAGTATCGGTGATCCCGTGTTTAATAAACAACGATTTTTAAAATTGTACCCTCAGACAAAAAAGTAGCAAATAAACGAGACATTTGCTTCGAGCACAAGAGCCAGTCAAATTCAAACACTATTCGAGAAGCTGAAATTGTCAATTTATGCATTCACGTACAACCAAACATTTTGTCGTCCACTTAAAAAACAATCTTTTTGACTGCAATCTTCATATCCGTAAAATCAGCGTATTCCGAAAAATAAGGCAAATTACGTAGTCGGTTACTGTAGAGTGACTAATTGCTGTGCCGTTGGTTCGTTTTCGGGTGCAATTAACTTTATATTTATCGAATGAGACATATTAAATTTTGTGTTCATTTATTTCGTTGATTTTTTAATAAAAAAAATTTACGCGACCCCGCTGACATTACCACCCGCTTAAGAATTAATGTATTCGGTTTTCGCGACTTGTTCGCCAGAAAACGCATCCGCCGCGACCGCAGCCTTAATCAATGCAGTCGTAAGGTCAAGGCAATTAAAGCAACGTTTCCGAATAATTTGTACGACGCGTGTATTAACGGTTCCGTGAAAAGAACGTGGCTTCACGCTCGGAATAATTCGACGCAGGGCCCATTAAGCGGAGTTATAATCGTTCGCGCGGGCGCACAAAGAAAACCGAGGAAATCGGCCGGTGAACCGAAAGGCAGTTACCACGGGAACGAGTCGCCACGGCGACGAAAGTAATGGAATAATAACATTAATCTGGCCCCGAAAGGCAGCGAGGTTGCTTTTGTTCCGTCGTTCCGCAGACATTTAGCGGGCTTTTTCGGCCCCGCCGCGTCGGGAATTACGCCGGACAACTCAATTTGTAACGTCCTCCGTTCTGAAGCCGCAAATGACGCGAAACCCAATAATACCGGGTCCGCGGCGATGTGAGAATTTCCAATTTCCAAGTTGTTCGTTGCACGTTTCAAGTACGACCCTTTGGTTGATTCCTGTGACCGTATCCGATCCTCTCACTTTCGCCAAAGAGAATCGAAATAGGAGCAAATTACCGAACACGCAACTCGCCAGTGGTAATTACACATAGTCGGGTTTGATTGGAAAACAATCAGTATTGTTATATGCACAGCACCATTTACATATTAATCATTCATACTATGTGTTTAACACTCGTCCGTCCTTGGTGTCCATTTTACGCTATTTTGAAACAGACTATATCATACTGCTATTTTTAGAAAAATTTATCACAGGCTTTACGATTATTACTTTTTTATTATAACATGAAGTATAGGGTAAAGATCTCTCCTAATATGACACCCTTGTTTATTTCCGTTATAGATGTTTCCCGAGTGTCGCATCGACACTTCTTTGTTGCGCATTGAGTCGCATATTTCGTTGAATCGTCTGTTTGTTTATATTTGCAAAATACGTTGCAAAAAGTTTTTGAAGGAGTTCGGTTATAGTAGAAATATCTTTAAAATGCTAAGTGTATAATTATTTTCATAAATCCTGTTACATATAGTGCGTTCAGTCAAGTTTAAAATAAACCAATTTTATATGCTCTTCGCATGAAAAGAGATACAAAAAATGAATTTATAGTCATATTAGAAATTCATTTTTCGAATACGAGGATTTACATTACAGAAGAGGAATTCTTTTTTTCCTGTATTTTCTAGTAAATTATA